GCAGGGCCCCAGGGACACCGGGCCCCAGGCTCCTCCCCAGGGGCCGCAGGAGGCAAGAGGCCGCCCTGGACCAGCGCCTGGAGGGGCAATGCCACCCAGCCAATTCTGGGGACAAAGGCAGCTGCACCTCCTCCTGCATCCCTCAGGCCGAGCGGGGCTGAGGGGCTGAAAAAGGGGAGGTGGCCCTGAATTCAGGCCTCCCGCCAGGCCCTGCCCAGCCCGCTGGCTGCCTGCACCACTGGCCCTGGGGAGCTGCCCTTGGGCCTGACCCTGACCCACTGGCTGACCTGTGATGGGCGTCCGTGCCTCCTGCTCCGTGGAACAAAGCCTCTTTCAGCCACGGGCGAGAGGCCACTTGCTGGCAGGGCAGGCGGCTCGTGAGCCGACAGCGGGCAGACAGGTGACCGATAGATACGCCGCTGTCCCGGGGAGGCGGTCCCTCCTTGCCCAGAGCCCCTGGACCGTGGGCACCTAGGGGTGCAGGGCAGGAAGGGAGGGCGGGGCTCAGCCTCATCCACAGGGTTTGGAGGCAGGAGGGACCCCTGAGGGTGGGGAGGGGTGGGAGCCCGAGGGTCTGGTGTGGGTGGCAGGTGAGGCGGGGCTGGGCCAGCCTGGGCAGGGCAGGGCGGGGCAGGCTGGGTGCTCTCACAGCACCACGGAGCTCTCTTTGCAATCGGGCAGTCCGTCACCCCCTTGCTCCCCCCAGCTGAGGCCTCTGGACCCCGCACTGCCCAGCTGCCCTCGGCCTGCTGCCCTCAGCCCCCAGCTGCCTTTCCAACCCCACCCCCAAACTGTCTCCCTCTCCCAGGATCCCAGGCCTTGCTGGGCCCAGCCCTTGCACCTACTCCCCTGCCCTGGGATTGCCCCCTCGTTGCCAAAGCCCCACGACCTCACCCTAAAGGGGGGAAGCGATGGGTTCGAAAGCAGCCCCCCCACCACCTGTGCGCTCACACTTCCGGGTCAGGCAGAGGGAGTTGGGGTACCCTGTCTCTCACGTGCACACACATGGTCCCCCCACCCTCCCCTCAGGGCCACCCGCACTGCTCAGCCTGAGCCTCTCCCGCCCACCTGTCCACCACTGGCTGGGTTTCGATTCTCCCGCCGGCGACCTGGCCACCTGCCCAGCGACGCCCTGTCTGACTGCCCCCGGTGCCCAGCCTTCCTCCTCCTCCTCTTCTCCACCTCAAATCCTCGACATTCACCGCCTCCCGGGAGGCCGGGGCGGACTGGTTATGTAGGGCAGCCAGGCTCCCTGGGCGCCCGCGGAGGAGGAAAAGCAGGTTACAGCCCCGGGGCCTCGGCTGCCGGTCTCCGCACCAGCAGGAAGCGCAGGCACCGGCAGGCACGTGTGTGCAAACCCAACGCGGCCCAGGCTGAACGGCCCGCCCTGCGCACCCCCATTTAGTCCCCAATGTTGCTGGTGGTATTTTTTTTAAAAAACATATTTTTATTGATTTCAGAGAGGAAGGGAAAGAGATTGAAACATCAATGATGAGAGAGAATCATGGATCAGCTGCCTCCTGCACGCCCCACACTGGGGATGGAGCCCACAACCCGGGCATGTGCCCCGACCGGGAATCGAACCCTGACCTCCTGGTTCATAGTTCGACGCTCAACCACTGAGCCACGCTGGCCGGGAGGTGGTGGTATTTTCAATACAACTTAATTTTCCCACTTCTCCAGAAAATTAACTGTTTAACTCTAACAAGACAAAGAGAAAACTCAGGAAGCCAGCAAGGTTGGGTGCCCACCTGGGGACTGGCAGGGGCAAGGCCGCCCACTGGGGGTGCAGAGCAGGGAGCCGTCTGGGAATAGAAGCGCAGGGCACAGGGGACCTGGGACCCGGGACAACCGGGCCAAGGGCTTGCAGACCTGGGGGCTTTTGGTGCAGCCACATGGGGAAGGGTCCCCCTCCCGGGTCCCCCCTCAGCCCGGGTTCCCCAGTGGGCCCGGACAGGACCGAGGCTCCCTCTTCCCAAACACACCTCTCTCTCCCACAAAATAATTTAATGCAACTAAATGGCTTGAAGTTGATGTAAAAATTACAGGCATGTGGGGGGTGGGGGCATGGAAGAAATCCTTTTGAAAATATAATTGAGTTAATGGAGCCATAACCGTGTCTCATTTTGGGGGTAATTGGCCTGCTTTTTGTCACTCTGTCCATTTACATACTCCTGTTTTCTTTTCGCTATTGATTTTTTCTTTATAAAGTGGGCCACTTTACTGCAATTTTAAAAGCCCCAGTGATGAATAAAAACCTCATCTTCCCACTCATTAAGACTCAGGAATTAGCCTGCGAGGGCCCCACTCATCAATTTGCGTAACAATCCCGGGCTGTTCGTTTTTTAGGTTGCGGCAGGAAAGGGGGGCTGCCTGCTCATGACGAGGGGCTCAGGGGCAGCCAGAGGGGCCGGGGCAGGTTCCGGGAGGCGGGTCCTGGGCGAGAGGCGTATTCGGAAAGGTCCACCTCCGGGGAAGAAGGAGGACTGACGGCCACTCAGAGGTCCACAGACGCACCTGCCCGGATCCACCCGGGTGCCCTGGACCATTACCTGAGAGGCCCTCCAGGTCCGGTCCTCCTGCCCTGCCCTGGGCCCCTCTACCAGCACCCGCCTCCTGTGACCATAACGCAGGGCCCCACCCACCTGCCCTTGGCTGCAGACCTAGGTCACATTTCCTTTATAAAACATATATATTTTTTACTATTTTTTTATTGATTTCAGAGAGGAAGGGAGAAGGAGAGATAGAAACATTAGTGATGATGGGCCCTAGCTGGTTTGGCTCAGTGGATAGAGCGTCGGCCTGCGGACCAAAGGGTCCCGGGTTCGATTCCGGTCAAGGGCACGGACCTCGGTTGCAGGCTCCTCCCCGGCCCGGGCCCTGTTTGGGGCTCGTGCAGGAGGCAACCCATCGATGTGTTTCTCTCACATCAATGTTTCTCTATGTTTTCTCCTCTCTCTTCCACTCTCTCCAAAAAGATCAATGGAAAAATATCCTCGAGTGAGGATTAACAACAACAAAAAGAAACATCAGCGATGAGAATCATCCATCAGCCGCCTCCTGCACGCCCCCTACTGGGGATGGAGCCTGCCACCCGGGCCTGTGCCCTGACTGGGAATTGAACCTTGACCTCCTGGTTCAGAGGTCGACACTCAACCACTGAGCCACGCTGGCCGGGCTAGCAAACATTTCTTTAATTCTAAAATCCATGCACACACACAGTAAAAGAATCCAACGGCACAGAGGGACAGACAGTGACAGCAGTGCCCCCTCCCCTGCCCCCGCCTCTACAGGCAACAGCTGCAAATGGCTCCCTGCCACCTGCCCCTGGTTGTGTGGTCTCCCTCCCTCCCTGGGGGACGCCCTCCGTGTCTGCCACTTCTCATGTCTCCCTCCCCCCCTGGCATGTCTGTGCCGTGTGCCTGGGGCTGCCCAAGACCGACCCGGATCTCCAGTGCTGATCCCGGGACTGACCCGGCCTCC